GAGAAACTTTTTCGAGAATTTTCGCTCGGCGCGCGAGCCAGCGAGCAATCAAGTGTCCGCCGATTTAATTGCTAGTTACCCAGCCACGGCCGATTGGTTTTCCGTTCGGAACGACATTCCGGCTGAGGCTGGGCCACCCTTTGCGCCACCATTTACATGATATTGAATCCCGAGCTGGGGACGAAGTCGACGTTCGCTCGCCAGATCGAGATTGGCTAGGCCAACGTTACGTGTGGGCAATTTTTCTCGGCGAAACGTTTCCGCGACATTCAGCCAATATCGGTGGCACGGCCTCGAGATGCCTTGGTATTAAAGGAATACGGGTCACCGAGAAATTTTCAAGCGGCTTTTCACGCGCGCGTACGCCGAGGAAACGGGCGTACCTCACAATTAGACGTACCTCGCAGGCATTGCCTCGTGCCTCGCTTTGCACGCTCCGCTCTTTCGATAGAAATTCTCTATTAACGTTAAAACTTCGTTAGAGTTCCTAAGTTCCCTCTCTGGCAAGCTGGATTTTCAACCAGGTATACGGTTCAACCTGCTCGGTACGGTTTTTCGTCGTAGATGTATCGTCGAAAATGAGATTGCCATTGATACGGAACGGTGAATAGAAGGAGTAGTTGAATAGGCGAGAACGATATTAAAGTATCGAGTAAAGTAAGGTATTCTTGCTCGTTGTCACGCTTGGTCCCGAGCCTCTTTCTGCCTCGAAGAAAGGAAATTTTCTGTTCGTTGATAAAAGTTTCGTTAGTTCCCGTTTCGCGGTCCGTCCATATTATTATTAACGTACATTTGTTTTTCCCTTTGCATTTTCCCTTGTAGTAGCCCGGCTGCTGCTTTATCGTTCTAGCAAAGTATGGTGAGAATTCCACCAGGTCTGGAGTTCGTGGAATTCGGCACGTATTAAAGAGATGCGTGTGCAGTGTACGTGCGAGATATAGCCGTTACCTGTGTGTGTGTGTGTGTGTTAGAGAATGAAAATTCCAAGCACTGATAGTTATATTACACCGAAAAATCGCTTCTATTTCACGAAATTGCCACTCGCAGCGACTGGCAGTCTAATCCTATTAACGGCTACGGCAACAACCGAAACAACTCGGTACATTTTTCCAGTTGCTCTCTCTCTCTCTCTCTCTCTCTCTCTCTCTTTCTGATACGTATTATCATCGTGGTTTTTAAACACGGAAGTCCGCGCAGTAACAATAGGCTGGCGATCAGGTCGAACGTGCAAGCTATAATTACAGGCCAGCAGAGTCCAGGTTTCGCCCCTGGATCGGAGTTTATAGCGGCTATATGGTAGATTCGCCCCCGTGTGCATTACCGAGTATCAATCGCCATATTCGAAAACCGGGCTCGCAGGGTATGTACGACGGACGACGATCGGCGACTGTGTGCGTTTCGATTGGCTCGACTTGCGAGTGCGGGGCGCATGTAGTCGTGTTGTGTATGCAGCCGTGTCGTTGTTCCCTCGCGAAATTGGAACGTTTCACCGCGGCGAGGCCATTGCAATTTTCATCGATACGATCTGACCATCGACCGTGAAGCCGGGCCCGTTTCCTGTCCGGAATCGTCCAACCGATTTCGACCGGTCACCAGGGCACGTGCTGTCATCCTTCACGTATATATCCATCTTTCAGCGGTTTCTTTCGACCCGATTGTATTGTACGTGTGCAGAAGCATATTTATTAATTCTGAACAACTTGTCAGATCCGCAGAGGCGAGTGTCTTGGAAGTAATGTAGAGATTTTGCAGACAAGAGCAAAGTATCGTGGCACACGTTGTTCAAAGTTAATGAAAATGGATTCATTGTATTCTCGTGTGTTCTTGAATTGTACAAGGTCCCCGGTGATGATCTAGTCGATAGATCCAGCAATTACGTTGTTTCAACGTTTTCCAGGTTTCCGCGCGTAATCTTCGATTGAATAATTCAAACATCATCCAAAAGGAAAGGAAGTTTTTAATTATCTTACAAAGGAGGACTGAATCGTGCACGAATAACAAACTAGTAAGATAGACGATCTCATCCACTTAGCAGCTTAGAATAATCAGATCAACAGAACGAGATGCTTCCAATCTGGAACGAGTATCGCCAGTCTCGACGTAACGCGAGCACCACGAGCACCGGTCTAATCTTAATTCCATTAAGTCCGCCCGGTGTAGGTGGCTGTGGTCTTTACACTCCGCGCGAGTAATAAGCGTGATAGCGATCGCACGCGAGAGCAGTCGTCGAGTTTTCTAACGAGACGGGTCGTTGGTTCGCGGAAAGTAGAAAAACCGAAACCTGACCCGTTTGCACTTTCTAAACCTTGTGCTCGTTTCGCGAGACCTGCTCGCGAGAAAGGTGTCTCGACTCGATGTGTCGGATCGAAGATGTTCGGATCTTCGCCGAGGTGGAAAGAAAACTCTGATAAGAGCTTTCGCGCTGACCCAATTCTATCCGCACGCACACTGTCACACCGATGTTTATGCATTTTCCCATGATCATAGAAAATATAATGTAAACGGAATAAAATGATATTTAATGGAATAAAACAAAGTAAATGAATAATCATATAGAAATAAATTTCTGTGTGAATAGAACAATATTACGATGTATCAACATTTCATTACAGTCGATGAAGCTTCCAAATATATTTTACAAGACTTTCAGGAATCAGAGTGAATCGGTTGTAGAATTAACGATCGGCAAAGATATCGAAATGCTCGTATCGAATCGATCTAACCACAGATCGTTTGCTTTCTTCATTGTGACGACGAACAGTTATTCTTTTTAATTATCTACGGCCCGCTCGCGGCTGACGTGAAGGGATGCTCGAGGATCTGAGATGCAATTAAGAAGACTCTATCGACAGTAATTAAAAGTATTTGCTGCTTCGCCCCGCTGAATCATTGAAACTTGCGGAATTTTTCTCTCTTTCTCCGTTCTTTTGTTCGTTTACTTTTCGGCCGTTCCGCTGAACGAACGACTCGCGAAAGGAAAAAAGAAAGGAACAAGGTGAATCTCGTTAACGAAGGCAAATAATGAGCTGGCTCGAAGCGATAAGAGTCGAAAATCTGACTTGCATGTTCGGCGCGCGTCAATTCAATTTGGCGGATGGTGATTGCGCTCGATTTATCCGCTCGGTTGGTTGTGCGTGGACAGTTCAATTGCCTCCGTTCTCTCGCGGCCGTTTCTACCATCTTGCGACACGCGTCGCGTGTAATTGCAATTACGCGTCGCTTTCGGGCTCGATTCACACACGGACGTTCTTCCTCCTTCTTCGCGTGCCTCGTTGCAACTTCATTGCACGTTTACGATAATATGCTTTACATCGAAAGAAGAAACGAGTTGCAATTTTTGGGATTGGAGTAATCCTCGAGGTAAAGAATTATTTCACGATACGCAACCTGCTGAAAATCAAAGGCACGTCATCTCTTCTCGTTTCGTAACGTTTCTCAACGTTCCACTCCGTCATCTCTGCTACTGAATA